TCTGTAGACTGGACATTTGTGTCCTCCCAAATCCAGGTTTTGAAACCTAACCCCCAGAGTGATGATATTAGAGGTAGGGTCTGGGCAGAGATGGGGTCATGAGGGTGAGTAATTTCCTTCTAGAAGGCCTCCAGGAGCTACCTCCCGCCTCTGCCACCTGAGGACATTAGGAATGACACTGCGGTAGAATCAACTCACACCACACCCCAGTCGCTGGTGCCTTGATCACTCATTTCTGAACCTCCCGAACCATGAGAACTCATTGTGTAACAGGACCTGCCCCAAAGGGTGGGTCAAGAAGACACACAAGGCACAAAAATTTTCAGAAATCAAGAAGGGATACACCATTGGCATCTTCCACTTGGCTGCAGGTGAGTGGCCTAGTAGGAGAAAAAGAAAAAGCAAATGTGTGGGATTCAATTAAGATTATGGCAAAGAGAAAGAAGCTGGATATGAGACATACAGGGTATGTTTTCTCTGCCAAATGCCTAGAACCTCTTGCTGAGCGGCTTAAGAAAGCTGGGAAACACTTGCTGAGGTTTCCACACTGCCAGCCTCATGCTGACAGGCAGCAAGGCAGTTACTCCTCCCAGTCTGGATCCCTAACTATGGAATTTGGATCGTTTCAATTCTGTGAACGTAGAAAGACACATTTTATGATTGTTTTGAATATATGCTGACCCCATGTCCAAAATGATAGTGACATAAAAATTAACATTGCAACACCAAACAGAAGTAAAATATTTTTGGGTAGCATAGAGTACTTTAGTTATTGGGTGTGGTAGGGCATGATTTAATATTTTAAAGATTGAGTTATTGACTACTTGAGAGGTAGTGTTACACAAAGAAAGGGACACACACACACACACACCACACAGAGAGAGAGAGAGAGAGAGAGATGTCTTTCATCCACTGGTTCACTGTCTAAATGGCTGGAGCACATGCAGCTGGACCACATCCAACTGCTTTCCCAGGCACATTAGTAGGGAGTTGGATCAGAAGTGGAGCAGCCGGGACTGAACCAGCAGCATGGATGCTCTGTCACTACACCAGCACTACACCAGAAATCACAGCCCTGTCTCAGGTGGCTGGACTGTGGGGAAAGTGAAGGAACTGACGTGAGACTCACGAAAGAGACCAGGATGGCATATCAAGCTACAAAGGTGAAAGGATAAACAAGAAAGATGCATACTGGAATTCTAAAACTGCAAAAATGAAGCTATCATTACAAAGTTAGGGATGACAGTATCGGTGGGAACACAGGATTTGTCAGTGGAGTACTGCATGTGAGGACTTACGAGTAGTTACAAGGATATTAGCCTTGTAATAGCCCACACAGCCCACTTCTGTGTGATTTTCAACACTGTCTGTATTATAATGAAATTTTCAAGTGTAGCTGTATAGTAACACATGCTCCATTTACAAAAATTAGTAAGAAACTCTGTTCAGAAACTATGATCAAATAGACAAGAGACAGGTGACACAAATTAGTGGCCAACCCCGGCCGTTGCTTATGATAAAATTACACATTGAACACTACAGAGCTGAGCGGATGAGGTGGTGAGTCATAACTTGGTCATAAATGGTTCTGAAGAGACAATGTAATGCTGAGACTCAGTATTTAATCGTGTTTCAAAACAGACAAGGCAGATAAATCTAGAAAAAAAGAAAGAGGGAGTGATTCTTTTGTTAAAGGGTAGAAATGTCAAAGATCTGAATCAAAGATCAAAGATTTGAGTCATCTTGAATGATACGCATCTTTGATTACTTAGCTGCTAACTGACGTGACAAGTTTGCTGGACTCGCTTGTGCGTTTGCTCTCACTTTGCTGTCAGTTAGTCATGGGTCCCAGGTAGTGAGTGGAGACACTTTAAAACCATGATGCAGGTCTCAGCCTCACCACACTGGGCATTATTTCTAAGTAGGAAGGAAGATACACATAGCAGTTTCATGCAAGAAATAATTATGTCCCATCTTTGTCCACCATGAAAGTCTGGGAGCAATGCATGACTCAGTGCCAATGTAACATGTTCACTGTGACTAAACATCCTAGCTAAAAGCTTTAGACTCAATTACTGTTGTATAATCTTTATGCATTTTGAAACTTGCTTCCCAAGAACACAAAGGACAAAAAATGAGTCACTAAGTATTCATTTTTAAAGTATCTTAGGGGTACCAGTACCTATACCAGTAGCTTAGAATACTTTAGTGTAACCACTAAAATTGGCTAAAATTGAGAAAAATCATGAATGTCCCCCATTTTAAAACTATAACAATCAAATTTCACATGAAAAATTAGAGAATGTTATATGAGGAGGATAAGGAATGTAATAAATATATTCATACATAAAAAATAAACCTGAAACCTGACCTCATTTTAGTGGGACAAGGCAAGGATTCCAGCAGATAGCTTTCTGTAATGAAGTTGTAAGGCTAGATGATGAAGAAGGGGATGGAAGATTTATCTCAGTCTCTCTCTCTCTGCCTCCCTCGTTTCTACTTTTATTCCCTTCTTCCTTCCCTCCCTCTGTAAATTCTGACATTAAAATAAATAAAATAACCTTAAAAAAAAAAACAAGAATGGAGGATGAGACACAAAGTGAAACATCTTCAGAGATCCAAAATACAAACAAACAAACAAAAACAAAACCATCAATATGAAATTGTATCCTGTAAAAAAATACTCCAACTGGAGACGGAAATTTAAAACAAAAATTTACTGTATGTTTGAATTTTACTGAAAGATAACATTTTGTTTTTACTCAATAAAAGAGATTATAAATGTATGAGATTACTTGTGCTCAACAGCTTGTCGCAGTCAACCGTGATGCTCACAGAAGTCTCCAGCCAGTCCAGCAGTGCAGCAAATCTGTCACCAGCAGACTTTCGCTATGGAAACTCTTAGTGAAGAAATATGAAGAAATGCTTTAAGCTTAAGCATAATCATGTCAGTTGGACAGTTCGATAAAATTATGGCTATGGTAAGCATATGAATAAATATGGCATCATTCTTTATAATTACAGAATATTTGCAGTGCTAATTGACTGTGTCCAGAAGAATGGTTAATAGCTGAACTCACCTTTTAACAGTCAAAATCTCCTCCCTCATCTTCCTCACCTTCCAGCTGTCCACACACAGCAGATAGATTCATTGCATGTCAATTCAGTGGTAAACCCTTCAAAAGCCTTACACATTGATTCTGCGAGCTTGTACTTCCACTATCTTTCCATAGTTTTTTCAGCTTATGGATAACACAGCTGGTACACAATTTCAACAGGTCTTTTAAACATAATTCCAGGAACTTACGTTTTCAGTCCCCTGGGTGTGCTAGCTTGCAGACAGCCACACAGACTGGATACGATTCCAATTCCTGTGAATTTCCTGTGCCTTCATTGACCTTTATAAAAATAAAATTCTTACATGTGTATGCAATGAGCACTAGAGGGCACCATGGTGGGCGCATATGTGTATTACTCTCTTCTACTTCCAGTGCAGTCTGTCACAAAATGCCATGCTACGCAATGTTCACAGTTAATTTTTAGGCAAGGTGAGGAATGTTTACATTTGTTCAAAGTGAAAGTCACAGAGTATTCAGAGTATGTGTAAACATATATTAAATTCCCTTTATTTCAAATCAGTAAATATTTTGATCCCCTACCTGGTATCCTTGATAATTGTTGTCTTTGAAACTCAGAAATACAAAGGCTGAAAATGCAGCGCTTTTGGATCTGTGTGACTTAGAGTTGCCACATACTATTTTAGATGAATTAAAGCGATTCCTGGTGGAGATCAAAGGCTCTTGGAAAGACCAAAGAACATGCTACCCGTGTTCAAAGGCCCCGATAATTGCCATCTTCCACCGGCCCCTCTCTGGGATATGGCAGGAACACATCTTGTTGTAGCCACATTTCATCGTTTCTTTCTCCAAGAAAATCAAATTTAGGGAACAGATAGGTATTTTGCTGGATTTTGAGTCTCTTCAAACAGTAAAAGAAGCCACAGATGCTGTGAACATTTATTCTTGAATAACCATATAAACACACAAACTGCCATCATTAGTTTATAAATTTTCACTAAAAGGAAGATTTTTTTTTTTTGTTATTTTTGATGATGTCTACGTAGTTGATTAGGGTGAGGGGCTGTGGATAAAGGGAAGTGGGTGAGATTAGTATTTCCACAACTCACATATCTTCATTCTACAAACAGGTAAGAGGGAGACAAGTGGAGCTGCCACACCCAGCCTCCTAGCTGCCTCAGTATCTGGGGATGGGCAATGGCCAGCCCATGCCAGGCTTCCAGATGCGCCTGGTGCTCTGAGGGTTCTGCTCAAATGGCTTCAACAGCTCCAACATGCTGTCCATCTCACACTCCAAGGAAGTGGACATTCTTTAAAAGGAAGATTTTAATAACAAAACAACCAGGAGAAGAATTTGAATATCAGAAAGCACTTCATATTAAAAAAAAATTAAACTATAGCTTTAACAGAAAATTCTACATTACTTTTTACATTTTGTCACATACTAACAAAAATTTCAAAAGTGTCTAAATATTTTCATGGATCTGTGCTAGCAAATCACTGAACTAAATGCTTCCCTCTGCCCCTTGCAACCTTGAAACTCTTACCTATAGTTTCATTTTAATACTACATGTCAAGTAAAAGCAATTTTCACAGCCATACATCAATTAAATGTAATTTACTTAGCTAAAATGATCATTTTCACAATAACAGAAATTAGTAAAAACAATTTTTCAAGAACAAGAGAAGAATTCTACTGTCTGATGCAAAAACCTCTACCACAACACATGTTCAGCACATACTACATACATTAAAGAAACTTTAAGAAGTTTCCTGTGGGAAGTGACAAAGTCATTTGGGACTAGAAAGGCATCGTTCTACTTGCATGAGCTTGAAAGAAGAAGTCGCTGTGTGGTAATCCTATCCTTTATCTTGGAGACCAAGAGTTGGTCTGCAAAAGTGTTGCATCATTTCCCTGCCTTCTGGGTGCTGAGCTGTGCCCCATTCCTCAGGTCTACAGTTAGTGCAGAGAGAGACTCAGCTTTTCTTTTCCTTTTCTTTGCGTGCCTGTCTCAAAATGTTGAGCTAACTTCATGAATTCTCCTGTTTCAAATTACGGAATAATGTTAACAAGTGCAGCTGAGAGAATGTAGTAAATTAGAACTCTCTTCATTTGGGAGAAAGAAGATGGTTCTCTTTTCTCCACTGAATATGTGTGAATCCAAAGAGAAGGCTTTTTTCAAGTTATTGCATGGTTCAGGAAAAGAAGGAACAAGCAAAGAAACCAAAATCAGGTAAAAGTATGCATTTTCAACCGGACTTGTATTTTGAAAACATGATTGATGTTGAATATTCGCTAGCACTTATTTCTCAAATTTCTTCTTGAAAATGTAGTGACCACATAAAACAATTGAAATTTTTAACATTAGGTATTTTAACATTAGGTGTTAACAATGATTGAATTTAGAGAGTTTTATTAAAGTGCAGCAAGTTAGTCACACAGAACCAGCAAAATGGTACATCCAAATGCTTTGTAGAAGGTGTAATTAAAATAGTAGTGTATTTTGCTGTAAAGAAAAGTTTCAATTCATGTGTAGTCTGTTCATAATCTACATGTGCCATGAACACTCTGAAGACCCTTCAATGCTGCACGCTTGATTTTTTTGGAGGTACAAAATTAAACATAATTTAAATTTTATATTCTACTACATCTTTTCTAGAAGAACCCTGACATAATATTTATTACAGTCTCAAATAGTTGACTTCCATGAAGGAAAGAGACATATTTCACTTAAGTTATCCTAATTCCTCCACAAACAATATTTACATGGAATCCATGAGTGTGTCTATGTGCATGTGTGAGAGGGGGCCGTACCGACTCCAGACTTTGCTGGGAATCAGAAGAGGAGATTTTTCAGTGTCGCTGAAACGAATTCCTTTTCTTCCCAGAGCTAAGGACAAGAGAAACAGGCTGAGTCTTCTGGTGCAGAAAGCAGAGTTCCACGCGGACTGCCACCTCAAGAGACTAGGGCACCTGAGCAGAGACGCAAGGTGAAGAACTCTATTTTTGGGGGGAGAGAGGAAATGAATTTGCTGGAAAACATGTGTACATTATAAATGTCTCTAAGATATGTGTTGAATTCAAAACCCCATATCTCTTGTCAATTGAAATTTTGTTGAAGTTCCTGTTTCCATTTTTAAAAAACTGCAGCACGTTGTGGTTGGAGTTCCCAGGAAATTGCATTTTAAGAAAAAAAAATGTGAAAGATACTCTGAGTTTAACCTCTTCTATTTGTTGAAAAGAGTATTGACCTAATTTATTCTTATTTATGTTTGTGCCTCCTAACGTAATAGATGATTCAATTTTTCCTCAAAAAAAAAAAAGCAGACATCAATGAAATCGAAATAAAACTGGCCAACATTCCTGACATTTGTAAGGTGACTTCAACTTAGACTCTAGAACAATGGAGAATCCTTGTGCAGTGTAACTGAGAGGAGCAATAGTAGCACCTACGCTTGAACAGATTCATAAATGACACTGTGCGAATTCCATCTCAAAGCAATCTCTCTCTTGCACAGAGTTCCCCCAGAAGAAGCAAAGAAATGGGGTGAATCATTTGACCAGCTGCTTTCCCACAGAGGTTAGTAATGCTTTCACCAAACAATTCACACTTTAATGGAAAATTATGCAAAGTATGTATTCAGTTTTGCAAAATAAGCCACGATAAACATTTTGAATGGTTATGAATTTTGGGTGATCTTTGCTTCTGACCAACAGAGATAGCTACAGAATAGTCAACAAATGGGAAACATTTTAACAGCCTGTATTTACGAAGGATCATTCACTTCTGGGTGAAATGCTAGTCATTTGTACTGTAATAAATACCGTTTACATTTCTTACATTTTCTGATTTTTGAAGGAGGTACCAAGTCTTTTTAAATCAATGATTAATTTTTCTCATGGTATTTTTATTACTCTGTGTGCAAAAATTTAAGAGTAATTATTTTGCCAGATATTTAAGAAGCCTTTGTGAAAACACCTGGCTTTTCAAAAAATTTGACAAACATTTTGTTGTGCATTTCATATCAATTTCTTCTTGAAGTAGAGTTTTGTTGCAAAGATGAGAATCAGGCATATAATGAAGGTAGAGCTTTGTGCGTGAGATACTGGATAAAGACAAAACAGAATGCCTCTTTGACCCTGCAGGGTGGGAGGCAGGTGGCTGGATTCCTACTCTTTGCAATAAATAAATAATAAATCAATAAATCAATAAATGGAGCAGATGGACACATTTTTGTCTTTCTTAGTTCAATGATTTCTCTCCTGTAACTCACTTGGTAAGTCCAACTGTTTAGATGGTGGGCCTAAGCAATCACAAGGTTTGTTTTTCTCTACGCTGAGCAGCCAGAGCTCCTTGACAGTGCAATGCGGTATCATTACAGAAACACCACGCTCTCCCGCATCCGCATAGCTTTATTCACACTCAAACATTTCCTGTCTATTACGGAAACACCCACACACTCCAACAACCCACAGCTTCTGTCTACACCTCCAGTACTTTCTGTTCATTTCTGTATTTTTGTCTGAAACACAAACACTTCTCAGCTCATCCCTGCATCACTCCAAGATCACTCCTATTTATTCTATTGATTGTGCATGATCTTACCAGTGGGTTTTCATCTTCCCAAGAAGTCTTTGGAAAAGAATGTTCCTTTTGCCAAAACAGCATATGGTGGATGCCTGTAATTCACCTCAAATATCACATTCCATTCACTGAAGCATGGAAGCATCTAACCTCCCCTCATTTGCTGTGCTTTCCCCACTACAAAATCAAAATGGTCTATGAGGTCCTGGGGACCTGTCAGGTTCTCCAGAATTTCTTGATGAAAATTCTGTGTCTACAGACTGTCTCTGGAAACTTTCCAGAGTGTAATTTTGATTCATGGAAAGGAAATACAGTAGAGGAATCAGGCCTAAAGTTAGGGAGGAACACAGCCACTGGAAAGTCGTGTAAGAAGACACTTTTGCTGACCGAAAATATAACTTATTAACCATTCATCCCTGTTTTACCTGTCATCACTCCCTATATTTACACATTTTTTTTTACTGCTTTTAAGTATGAAATAATTTACTTATTAAAACTTTTGCCAAATGTCAAGCCCATCCTAGGCTTATAGTCTATATTATTTTTAATGGGCACATAATAATATTATTACAAATGTATGAGATATGGTATCAGATTTGAATAAATTTGTATGGTGTGTTTTGGTCAAAATAGGGTAAATAATTTATTGATCATCTCCCAACTTTATCATTGCTTTGTTTTGAGAAGATTCAAAATGCTAGTAGCTATTTTGAAAAATACAACATTGTTAATTCCAGCTACTCTACTGTGCTAGAGAACACCGGAGCAATTTCTTCCTCTTTAATGCAATTCTGTACTCAATGCCAGCTTCTCACTACCCCACTCTGCCCCGACCCTCTCAGCCTGCTAACCACCATACGACACTCAGGTTTTATGAAATCAGCTTTTTTGATGTATACATATAAATGGAGATTGTAACATTAGCCTTGGTGTGTCCAACTTATTTTACTTAGCATCATAAATTCTAGTTCTACCTATGCTGCTGCAAGTGACAAAGATTTCATTCCTTTTAGACCTGAATAATAGTCCATCTCTTTATCCATCGTCAATGGGCAACGAGGTTGATTCTATATATTTGCAAATTTGAATGTGTCATCTTCACTGCGTTACTACCAATACTGTATTCAAGGACAGACCTGTTACAGAACAGATTATTCAAAACTGATTTTTTGAAAATTTTCCCCACATATCCAGCATTTTAGCACATTATTATTCTTTAATTTCATCAATCACTGAGAGCTGAGGAAATAAAAAAGAAATGGAATTCAGTGTTATACAACCTGGTTGTTTTTAGGAAGAACTAGACGTTTTCCATTTGTCACTTTTCAATCCCAACATGTCATCATCTGGAAAACAGTAAATGGTCGAATACCATGACTGAGCTTGTTGCTAGGGAAAAAACTACTCAGAGGCGTTTTGACATTTTGAGCTGCATTTCTCCTCTGCAGCATGAAGGATTGCACAATCTTAGTTAAGCTCCATAATCACTGTGGCTTTGTTTCCTCAGGGTAAGTGGAGATAATATTATTAGCATCAATAAAAATAGATTTCTATCAGGATTAAACGGGATGATGAATAATAAATATTTTAAAATTATGAAGTATTACTATAAAGAAAATAATATCAAAAATTTTAGTAATCTTTTTGTGTTTCCAGTCTACTCCCAACTAAATGATAGTCAAAATTCCAATCAAAAGTAATACATAAAATAGATTTGTTACTTTATCTACAGCTACATAATAATTATATACTATGCTATCCATCAAAATGAAAAAAAAAGATTAGTAGGGTTATTAGTTGTACAAAAAATACTCACCTGGCATTTTATAATTAAGCCTCTGTGAAAGCAGACAGTGAGAATTGAGTAGATAATAGAATCTGTTATGCTATTTGTGGGAACAAAAAGAAGCTATACAACCAGTTTACTCCAGAGAAGATAATACACACAAAACATCAACATTTAACTCATTTGGACTTGTTGGACATTATTGTCATCTTTCATTACCATTGTTCTAAGTTGATACTGGATTCACAAAATTATATAAAATATTGTTTTATGTAAATTTAAAAGTTTAAGTAGTCTATTACAATGCTATATATGTAAGGATAGGTATCCTTATATATTTCTATATATAGAGAAGTATATATAAAGTATATATACATATGTATTTGTGTATATGTATATAGATATATATATATAGAGAGAGAGAGAGAGAGGCATATAAGGATATATAAAAGTACCCTTAGAGAAAGAATAAAAGGATTTGTGTGTGTGTGTGTGTGTGTGTGTGTGTGCACGCGCACACAAGTGTATGGCTCTCTATCTCCTATATCTACTTCCACAGAGAGATCTACTTACATCCATATACACAGACTCTTCCCCTCTCTGTAAAATTCCCCTCTATAAAATTTAATACAATCTACATTTGGCTAGATTGATCATATCAACTTTAGCTCTATAATAACAAAAGGTTCTCATATTCACTAACGGGGTCAGGAGAGAAAGCGACCATTCAAGCTGAGCATCAATGCAGGCTTGAGACATTTAGCAGAGACGTTTGTCTAGGAAATTAAAAACAAAGCAATTACTTATTGCAAAACTTCATTTGAAAGAGAGGGATAGTTAACCTTGATAGACAATAGACCAGTAGTTGTTGTTGGATCGCACAGAAACCAAAGAATACAGGAATGTTTTAATAATAATAACTCAGCTATTGCATTCAAATTTTATTCATACAGTTTAACTCTTTTAAAAAATACAAAATTCCATTGAAGGTAAATTTAAGAAAGTTTGAATGCAGTGTGGACTCCAATTAATAATAACATAAGAATATTGGTTCATTAATTCTCACAAACGTTTCATAGCCATTTAAGATTTAATAATAAGGAAATTTTATGTTGGGTAATACTGTGATAATGTTATCACCTCTGTAAATCTAAATTTATTCTAAAATATTTATTTTAAAATGAACTCAGATATGTTATACAGAAAATTTGCAGGGGAAAATGGACGTATTATAAATAAGAAAAAAATTGTGTGGCAATTGTGGTCAGATAATGGGTTACTATCAATTTAGTTGTAAACCTAATCAGAATTAAAACGTTTTCTAGATAACCACCTAAATATTACTTTCTCTGAAGGGAATCTGTACAATGGCACCTAGCAGTGAGCACAGAGTACACACACAAGGATTTGTGAGCTAGAGAACGGGTCTATTGGCAGGACTGTTCCTGCTAGTTTTTGCAGTCTTGTGTCTGAATTTCATGCAAGCTCATTTTCATCAGCTGTTTCCAAAGAAGTGGCTGTCGCAACTGTCCTTTCACAATCCTTGTTATAGACCTGCTTGCCTCACCCCATGTTTTCCATATTCCTCAGCTATATGGACTTCCTTAGAGCACATCAGGAGTAACAGTCTTGTCATTTTAAACAAGATAAAACTTGTTCCAAACCCTTTGTGCTCCCTTGCCATGACAATTTAATCCTTTGTCAAATAGGAAAAATAAATTCATCTGTGCCAACAAAGGTCATATACCCAATGTGCCAAGTATCTTAGCAAAATCTCTATTTTAATTGGCCTTATACCACTCAAATATATAGCACAATCCTTAAACATGTACTAGGTGTTTCATAAATAATTAAAAGTTAGACAAAGTTTCTCTAATGAGCAATGTCAGTCATTGGGATAAGGATGATTCTTTTGAGCTGTTTGTGCAAAACATTTTATTATAAATTGACATCTATTAATAATATGAGTAATAGACAATATTTCTGACATCAAGCTAACTTGGGACTAATTTGAATGTTTGCCAACCCAGGAACATTTGTGAAATATGAATACAATAAATTAAAATAACAAATTTTATCACATTACTATGGTCCATCCATATGCAAATATTCATAAAACAAAAGATGGTTTCCTCTTTCCAAGCCAGATCTGACATGAACCAAACTGTTTTCTCAGTACAATACCAAAAAAAAAAAAAAAATTATTTTG